GATAGGCCGGGATTTGGATGGGTCTACACCCTGAGGGTTGGTGCGATGGGGGGCTTGGAGGTTATCGGTTTGGGGGGGAGGGATAAAGGAGAGGTATACTTCTAAGGCATACTTCAAACATGTACTCCCCTTTCTGCCCAGAAGCAGCATTGTAATGAAAGCTGCCAGACTGCTTGCCGATCCTCAGTTGAACAAAAATTGAGGTGCAGGCATTCTGAGGCAACTAAGTGGCAGTTATCTGAAAGCCTGAATAGGCCTAAGGGCAGATGAGCTGCCTAATGCCTTACCTGCCTCCTATTAATATAATGCGTAGGATGGAGTTGGGTGGGTGGGTCTCAGACAGGCCTCACATCCTTCAAATGGGCTGGCAGGGTGATGGCAAAATTCACCCCAAGCTAAACACACATAGTTATTTTCATTAATACGAAATAAATTGAAGACAATAGCCATAAGGTGCACTGCATACAGAAATCAGGAGTTTGGAAGAATCTTTGTAACACAAAGACTTATTGTAACGTGCATTCTTTTCTAAGAGGTGTTATTGATATAAAATCAATTATAACAAGTTTTTGAATTCTGTAATTAAAGAATAAAAAGCATGGGAGGGGAAAACAGGAAAATGGGATTCTATAAATTCAGTTTGAGTGGATTTGCTTGCCTTCTTTGTTATTTCCGAATAGATTTTGTACTGCTTTCTAACACATTTGATATTGGTTAAAGTTTAACTAGTGAAAATTAAATATTGTTGAATGAACAAATGATTTCTGCTTTGATTTGTTCTCCTGAGTCAGTTTGCAATATAATTACATAAAAGGTGTAATTCACTCTATCCTTGTTCTTTCTCTTTCAAGGCTGGTATTGGGGAGCACTTACCTCAATTGAAGCACGACAGATTCTGAATCAAACCACTGAAGGCACATTTCTAATCCGGGATAGCTCCAACCCAGAATATCTTCTCACACTCTCGGTCAAAACAAGCTCAGGACCTGCACACCTTCGTATTGAGTACAACGAGGGAAAGTTTGGCTTTGATTCAGTGGTTTTGGCAAAACCAAAGCTCAAGAATTTTGAAGACGTGGTTGATCTTATCCAGCATTATGTCTTGTTGTCTAAAAGTGCCCAAACCGCACATGACCAGTCACTTGCACCAGTGACTAAAGATACAGTGATTCACCTGAAACTGACCAAGCCCTTGTACATTGCAACACCTTCATTGCAACATCTATGTAGAATTATAATCAATAAAAGTACTAAGGCAATCCAAGAACTTCCCTTACCCGCTAGATTAAAGAAATATTTATTAGAATACCCTTTCCACTTGTAACTCAGTAAAGAGATAATCATTCCTAAAATGTGTGGGAGAGAAAATGACAACAATAAATGACAAAGGGACTTGTTACATGGAGGAAATATTCAACTGTTTCATGTTAATGACTGAGCGAGATTTGGTGCTCTATTGCAACACACCTAATAGATAAGGAATTAAACTGTCCATCATTTTCATGTTCGGTTTAATTTAATGTACACACAAATTTTACAGTTTCTTAGTAAAAGCAATCCGTTTAGTTTTCACAGTAATTATGGTAAATTTTTGATTTTTGTTCAATATTTCTTTTGACAGCTGTGGCTTGTCATGGTATACTCCACATTGTATACAACATGCATTCTTGAAGTGTGGTATTTGAAGAATAGTTTGGTTTGTGGTGATTCTTGTGCCTCAGCTGGCTGAGGATGGAAGTAATCAAAAGATAAAATCCTGTATTGCCAGTGAAATATTCCAGAGACAGTGTTGAGGAGAGCATCGTTAGCAAATTTTGTTGTGCCCCTAGCTTTCAGCTCAACTGCCAACATGTACTATTGAGAATAAAAGAATTGCTTAGTTAGTCATTTAGACTGAATAAGAGTACTGTTTCCTTGTGCTCCCCAAAGTGACCCTTACATACTCCATGTGGACAAGCTGAGGGCTTTCTTCCAAACAGATTGGTACATGGGGGGATTTGGTTCTCACTGTGGGTTGCGGGAAATGTTAACCAACATTTGATCTCGCTACCTGCTGTATAATGAATTATAGAGAACTTGTACTATCAGCATTTTCCCACTTAGGTTGAAACATTAGACAAAAGATTATATGGCATGCCAACTGCCTAACATTAACCTGCAGAAAAGGCAAAACTTCTTAATGGTTGAGAATGCCATATGTAATGTGATTTGAAAACTATTAGTAAATGAATCAAAACAATTGAGCACAAAAATACTTGTGCACTAAACTTTTCCTGAAAATTGGTCTATCTAAAGCAAATTGATCTAGAGTTGGTGTTTGTAATGATGATAGAACTGCCAGCATTGACCATCATGACAGGCAACAACTTCTGGTATCTGTACATGCTCAGCTAAATACAAATAGCCAGAAGTTGCTGTCAATCATATCCTGCACCTTGAATTTGTACACGGTTGCAGTCTTTGCAGATGCAGTCAAAGCAATCAGTGATTTGGCGTGAGCATGAACTTCTTATGCACTATTCTTGCTGGAAAAATAATGAAAATGTTAACAATATGATTTTAACAACATGCAAAATCATAATTAGTGCTGAACAATATCTCTAGCCCTGATAATCTAATTTCATATGTGTGGAGTGTAATTCTCTGCATTTCTTGATTAAAAATTCTATAGGTATTTAATGTTTAAAAAATTTATTTCTCCAGCTTCTACCTTAATCGTATGTCCAATCTTTTGTTTGCTCTTCCTGCAATGATTAGAATGCAAATAACAAGCCTTGCATTTTACTTCTGCTTTACTGTCTGTACGAATTTGTCAAGTTAGTCAACTGGTCAGTCAGCTTGATGTCTTCACTCTCCCCTGACACTCTAGATAGCACATTTCCATCTGTTTAAGAAACCAGCGCTATAGAGTGCAGTATTTCTTTGTGGATGCTTTACTTGATGTCAGTGGTGAGCTCCGTCCCTTCACTACTGGCTGCAAAATCTGGGCCATGGCATTGCATTGCAAAATTGGAATGATGCCAGCAATGAACTGATGCACCATGCAGCTGCTTTTCTACTATAATGTATGATGCCAGTAATGCACTGGTATCTGTAGACTAGAAAAGCAGCTGCCTAATTGGCTTGCTGATGCCTAAGAATTCATAGAACAGGAAAGGTCACTCAGCCTGTAAACCTTGTTCTATCTTTGGCTATGTATAACACACAAACAGTAGTATACTGTGATCCATTTCTAGAACTGTAGTCCCACCTGTCACTGACTTGCTCAAATCTTAATCTTCCATTCTGCAACAAAAAATCTATTATACCTACCTCTGGATTTAGCAGATGGATATTTACTATGCTGTATATTTATTTATCCCAGATACTGATACAGTACAAAAGATTATCTTTTGAACACTGGCTGAATGCTCACTTTGAAAGAATGCTCCCTTTTACCTGCATCCCTAATTCTGTTAAAATTTCTACTTTTATTACATAGATTACATTGTTTGGCTCAGTTGCACCGTACATTTTTGTTTCAACTGGATATGAGAATTTCTCATATTCTGCCAGATATTGTTTAATGGAAGTGGTGGGAATCCAAATCTGGGAGTTATTCCGACACTATTTTGGGTTCATGCCCACTGTAGCGTGACTGACTCTCTCAAAGGCAACTTTTTAAAACCATTACCTTTAAATATTTTAGTGTTGTCAAAGAGTAGGATGCTTTGTTAAATGTTTGTTAAAATTAAAAAAAAAACAGAATTTGGATCTTAAGTAGTAATGCAGTGTACATATGTAGGACTTCACTTTGCCTGACCAAGGATACTGATGTATAGGTGAGAGGATGAATCCACAGTATTGAAATGACACCTCTCTTAGCAAAAGGAACAGCAAAGCCATAATCACAATACTATAAAATTATACAGCAGGAAAGGAGGCTCTTACCCTGTAGACCTGTGATGTTTTCCTAATCAAATTCTGTTTTGTGAAGTTACTATCGAGTCTGTTGTGCCATCCTTTCAGGCAGTGCACTGCATTTCAGAACAAGTTATTGCATTAAAAGAATTTGTCATCTCCATTAAATATCAGAATTGCTTAAATGAAAATATTTTCAAAACAAGTCCTTTTCCTGATTTTTTTTTTGATACCTCCATTTATGAATTATACATTGGCCAAACAACTACAAAGGATGGAAAAATCCAGCCACAAATTATGTCCTACAGATAGAGTTTCTACAATATTTTATGATAGTTTAAAAACATTGCACAGAAATATGGCCCTGCCCTCAAACCAGATTAAATTAATCACTGTTGATTATGCCTTTTTTGCAGTCTTTTAAGGAGGTTCTTAAAGTTTAGGGTTTTTTTAAGGTCAAGGACAGTAGTGGACACTTCTGAATAACTTTTACATTGTTTATTGGTTTGCTACAAAACTACCAACTTTGCGCTAAGTAATCTTGTACATGATTTGCTGTATCTTAAGCAGTCATTTTCAGTGATGGGAAGGGATCACGAAATCTAGGGGCCCAGGCTAATATTCTGGGGATGTGGGTTCAAATCCCCACCATTGCAGATGGTGAAATTTGAATTCAATATCTGGAAATAAAAGCTAGTCTAAAAATCACCATGTAACCATTGTTCTAAAAGCTCAGTTGGTTCATGAATCTTTTCTTTAGAGTAGAAAATCTGCTGTCCTTCCCTAGTCTAGCCTACATCTGACTTCCAACTCACAAAAACATGGTTGACTCTTTACTGCCCTCTGAAATATCAGAGCAAGTTCAAGGGCAATTAGGGATGGGCAATAAATGCTCCATCTTGCCAGTAACATACATATCCCATTTCAAAATAAAAGTTGTTATTTAAAATCAGGTTACTCACAGTGAGTAAGTAGACATTCTTGTTAAAATATTTTGGCTGTTTTGATGAAACTGCACCTTAAATATATCAAGGAATACATAAATCCAAAAAAAATGCATTCTAAAATTTGTCCTATTGCAATGATTCCTGGCAGATTTTGTTTTCAGTTGTATGCAAACTCAAACATTTGAGACAGGAAACATGAAAACCAATGCAATTTGTTGTACATGGATTACAAAGTTGATTTATTTTGTTAAACAGTTTTAATACTCTGTTAATGATCTTAACCGTTGCAGGAGGACATGTTGGTACCTAAGAATTTTTGAACAGGAAGGTAGCAAAGAAAGCAATTGTCCATCTAGCAACTGAAATGTAATTACAGTTTCCGCTTTAAATCATTTGTTTTATGAACCCCCTTTCACACTGTGGAAATAGCTCCAGTAGTGTCTGACTGGGTGTAATCAGTAAATCAAACCAAATATCTGAATTTCCTGAAGAAATCAATTATATAATTTCTAGGACCACTTCATGTTAGTTTTGAGGTACTTGGTAAAATTACATCATAAAATATATAAACTCATTTGCAAGGGTAAAGTTGTGTGTTTTTGAACAGGTGAAACAAGATATGACTTTGAAGTTGCAACTAATCTCTTTTGAACCAGTTATTGTAGAATATAAAATGAGAGGTGGATGTTTACATTGAAAGTTCATGAATCCAAAGTTTAGTCAAATGCATTCCAGCAGTCCTAATCAAAATCCTTGGATGACACTTGACATCTCTGAAACCTCTTCCTCCTCAACATGTCCCATGATTATAATAGTACTTTTTTTGAGTAGTACATCCTGCTATTTGTGAGCGACTTTTCTTTTACCCTCCATGCTGAACCTATTTCATTTTCTCATGCCTGGAGCAAATGGCCAGTATGAGAAGCACTAAGTGGGTGTTGTTTAAAAAGTAGTGTGGGTTGTTTTGTTGTAAATATGTTTATTCTTCATAGATCAGAAACCTTGTTAATACTACCATAGTATAGACATTGTAATTATTAGAAACTTCCTTATTTATTTATTTATTCCAGACGAGTATGCACTTGTCTTCAAATGAAGACTTTGGAAGCAATAAAATGCTTTGCATTTATTTGGAAATTAAATGCAGTTCTCAGAACTAACATTTTGTTTAATCATTAAATATGTTGATATGATTCTTAAACAATAAAATCTGCTCTGTATTTGTCATTAGAAAATGAGATGAATTTAAAAATAAATAATTTATGGCATTAGTTTCTTTGCAGACTGCGAATAGGGCAATACAAATCATCATGAGCAAAAGCATTTTGTATGAAGTTGAATAGTTAAGCGAATGTTCCTTTTGAGACTTTTCCCTAGACATAACTACTAACAGGGTCATCACACAGACCTTGGGTGTGTTCAAACTTTCATGAAGGTAAGATGTTCTCTCTCCCTCCAGTAACTACTCCTAACTTCAGCTTTTAATATTTGAAGAGTTTTTTTTTTATACAAAGCCAGTGAAGGCAGTGGACCAAATAATAGCAATATCAGAAAATGGGTATATTTTGTAACATGATGTCCAATTTGACTTAGTGAATAACTTCTTTACAGTTGGAAAACTGTATTTTGATCTTTCTAATGTCCTCTCTACACTTTAAGGAAGCCGCCAATCCAAATTACTATTAAAATTTGCAAATATTAATTCTGCTGTTCATCTTCAGTGGAGCCAGATCAGATTTCTGAAAATGGGTTGTAGGCTAAATAGAACTTAAGGCAGATCAGAGCTTCCGCCATTTAATAAAATTATAATGGTTCCTTAAGTATGTTTGGAACCGTGAACATTCCGTGAAGTGACAAGTCACATCCAGATTGGGTCACTGTACATGTTAGAAATTGTGTGTTTGGCTTTCACATGTGAGATTTAATATTTTTTAATTAATGCAGTAATGATTCCAAAAGTATGAACATTTTCATAACTTATTTGATAAAATATAGTTATTTGCATTTTAAATAGACAAATGATGAACAAAATTGCCTGCATTTATTATGTGGTTCATGGTGCTAGGGATGATTTTAAGCAATAAAATGTCACATTTTAACCAAAAAGGGGGCTGCTGTCCGTGGTCCTTGTGCAGCCTAAAAGCACATAGATACATATATATATAAATACATACACATACATACACTTCTGCTGGAAGTATAAATTGAATTAGATCCCTGAAAAATTCAGATCAGTTCTACCTCGTGCATAATTTCACAAACTATTATAAAAATTGATCAGCAGTGTACAAAAATATGAAATAAAAATAAAGTGCTGGAAATACTCAGGAAGTCTGGCAGCATCTGTGAAGAGAGAAAAAAATTGAGTTAACATTTGTGATTAATGGCCTTTCATCATCAATCTAAGATGTTAATTCTTGTTTCTCTCTTCCAGACCTCCCAAGTATTTACAACAATTTCTGTCTTTGTTTATATGTAAACCTATGGAAATTGCTTGAGTAACTTATTTGTTGAGGGTACTATCAATTAAAAGAAATCCATGATAGTTCAGAATTTGTGGAAGTTCAGAAGAGTGAGACACTGCTTAACGTTGACCAAGGAGTAGAATAACCAAGGGCCAGATCATGTACTATTCAGAGATCCCAAAAAAATGGGATCATTATTCTCAGTTATGATGTTGCATGCTAGTGTGGAATGCCTGTACACAATCCATGTGATCAAATATCTAAGGGAAAAATACTCAAAGTGGGTCAAGAGATTAGGTGAAAGAATTGTGGTGTTGTCTGTCCTACATACATGTAGTAATTTAATGTCTTAAAATAATTTGCCAAATAGTTGGGAATAAGTTCTATTGGCAAAGTACCATTATTATCACTTTTAGAGTTGATTTTATTAAAAACTGAAAGCTGCAAGTTCTGCCCAATAAATACACATAGTTTTGGCCTGTTTTGTGAGTGGCACTGTTTGTTTTCAGTTTGTGGCTGCATTGTTACACTAGTGCCAAGTAACTCATAGCGGTAAATATTCCAATTTGGACAGGGTAGATGGAAGTTGGCATTATGCAGCCCATCTGCTTGAATCTCAAATTAAAGAAATTTGAGCTTCTAGCAAATGGCTTCCTAATTGGTGGATAATGCTTAGAAAGAATGACAAGCAAATTGAATGGAAATTGAAAGCAATAATTTCAATACTGCTGAGTTGTTAGCTAGTTATTAACTTACAGGATGAATGGCAAAATTGAAATTTATTCTATATTTATGAATAAGATTGATTTAAAGAAAAATAGTTTGCATTGAGGAGTACTTTATTTATTTGCAACCTATAACTAAATGTCAAATTTTCAGGAAAATCATGTAAAATATTAGGAAAATTTTATAATTGCATCAATGCTGTACCTCTGAGGAGGTCTCCCAGTTCCGGACTCAGACTACTATCAACCATTGTTTCAATTAATGATTGACTATCTACCATTGACTGGTATGAGCACCTTTTTGGATTTTTTTTAGAGAACTGCAAATCATTCAGTGTTTAAAGTACTTTGAAGCTACTCAAGGATACCATGAAACTAATTGAAACTAATCTTCCCTAACAGCTTATGAAGCTTTAAAAGCAAAATAATGCTTTTAGATGTGGGTAAACTATGCAGAGAAGGTGTATCACATTGAAATTTGTTTGTTTTTGTATTTTTCTGCTTGCTAGTTGCCATTGAATCTGTTGCACCCAAACAACTGTTGCTACTGTTGACTGATATGAAGTCCCACCATTGCAGCAGCCCACTGATAATCGTGGTTGCTATGTATGGGTGCTTCTGTCATCAATCAAGATTACTTCGGACAGTCTAGGAAATTGCAAAGATATTCCTCTTTTATTCTATTTAGTGATACAGGATGGATGCAGATAGAAACTGCTGTGGCAATAAATTATTCTTGAGTTTGATCCTAATGATTTCTGATAGCATAGAAAAATCAAATTTCCCAAAGCTTGATGCATACCAAAAATCAGTCCCAAAAATGATTTTTTCCCATCATTGTATCCTAATGATGAAAAGTGTAAACTTTAAAAATAGATTTTTTTAAAATCAGATTTTTCATTAAACCACCAGATTCCACATAGCATTCAGAAGCACTGCATTTGAGAGAAATGTGGCATTTTATATTAAATGTTCAAATCTGAAATGCTTTGCTAGGCAGACAGTATTCTACCAGATATTATTCCTGAGTGCATTTGTGACAGAAAACTGCATGAGTAATGTAATGTGTACTAACAAACCAATTTCATATTTCGTGAGTGACAGTTTTATATGCATGTGATTCTTTTTTCACTCTACAAATGGGGATGATTCAACCTGAAAAGGGTATTCATACTATTTATAAAGTGAGTTTTAATCGATTGTTTGATATACTCTGTGTGCAAGGAGTTTGAATTCCACCTGTGTTTTATATGGAGAAATCCCTTGCATTTTGCATATTCTGTGTCAGAATACACTCAACAGTTATCTCAAAGACTATAAATTTCAACCTTTGATGTCATATGTCCATCAACTACAAACTTGAGTTTGCAGATCATGAGTTTTCTAAATAGAAAAGGTGAAAAGTAGCAATTCTTTTGTTATAAATCTTTCTGTATGTAGAAAGTTAATGATTTTGGATCTAATAACTGAAATGCATATTGTGCCCCATTTTAATTTCAGTTGTACATGTGAAATACTCTGGATCATGTATAATGATTTGGAGTGAACACCATTTTATAATTCCTGAATATTGTACAGATGAACTGGTACAAACGTCATCAAGTTGAAGATCAGCTGAATAATATAACTCAATTTTGAGCATTTGTTCACAGTGCACCTTACTTTCATTTCACAGACTTCTAGTCATGTGAACTGTAGGGTACCTTCTGAGCTGAAACTGTCCCTTGCAAATCTTTTGACTGATAGCCTCCAATTATAGGAGGCCTTGTTCTTCTGAAGAAGATCTTCTGCTCTCAGGAGGAGTTTGATGCTCCAATCCCTTGTACTAACACAGTGTGATGATTTTAAGGAGCTGATTTATCAACTACTGGGACATGGCCAAGTTGTAAAAATGGTGCACATTAGGAAAAAATCTTTTAGATTAATATAAAATCAACATGTTGGTGCTAAAACATTTTGGTTATTAGTGCGCAGCTGTTTCCTGGCAATTGCCAGACTTGCTCTTATCTACCTTATAACTATGTGCTGTTGGTCACTAAGATTATCATGATAGCTATTCAATTATTAATAGCATTCTTCTGACAAAATAATATATATGATTTCTACATTTGGAAATATTTTTAATAGTATCTTTAAAATTCAATGTTGAACTCTGGTTTAAATGGGTTCTTTACATCATTGTATGGCAGGTTTTTAATAATTGCTAAGAAGGGCTTAGCACATATATTGTTGTGAACAGGGTGTGTTTTTTTAAAAAATCCCAAGCAGTTTAGAAATCTTCAATTTTCAAATTGTATTCCTAGTCTCAAGTAGGTATTGGTTTGACCACTCTTATGACTGGTAAGCCTGGGTAAAGTGTTTGCATGCAAGTGTTTTCAGGTCTGCTCACTTTTCTTTAGCAGACTGTCTGATAAAAGCACAAATTAAAATATAAAGGATTCTGTTTACAATGACATATGTATTGAAGTATGTAATTCTTTGCTTTTTTTATATTTTTATATCATTTATGAAATATGAATTAAATTGATAAATCTGAATAATTTCTCAGTGACTAGCAGAGTATCTGATATTGCTGACTTTTATTTTGTATCAAATCATGGCTGCATGGGGAATTGGTGATGCCACATGGTAATGGAGGCAATTAGCTAACTGAGAGAAGTCAGCTGGCTTGGCCAAACAAATCTATCATATTGTTGAGAAAGCTGCCTTTTTATTTCTGTAGCACAACGTGTGCATAGTAGACAAGACCATCTTCAGTTAATGATCCATTTATATATTTTCGGTATGCAAGTATTCAGGAAATAAAATGTTGGACATATTCTAAGTTAAAACCAATGTCTAACATGTTGTTTCTTGTGTAATGGAAAGATGTTTTAAAAAGATCTAAAATAATGAGCAAGTACAGCAGGTAGCACTTTATACATCTCCATGATTAATAAAATGTTGTCATAAAAAGAGAAACATCCTTGACATTGCTGCGATTTTTATGCTAGTTTTTGAATGTGATCAAACTTCAGTCCACTATTCACATTGGGATTTACCAGCAGACAAGTGGGGGAGCATACACATAAATACATACTAAACATAATTACAAAAAAAACTTGTGTTAGTGTGTTTGACCTTATTTGTAATTCTGTATTAAAGTAAGTCTTTACCTCGTCAATTGACTTTCTGAAAATGATGCTTGCTGGCTTGAAAACTTTAATATACTGCGTTAAATTCAATTGATAGTATTGTTTGTTACATTTCTGGAACTGCAGGCTCTGTACAGTATATTCTGTCATGCTGTGTCTTTTTGTTTGCATTTTGTGAACCTTGTTGTAATTCACAATCTAATAAAATACTGCTGATTTTATTTTCCATTATCGAAGTCATTTAACCATGAATGATTCGTTCTTAGTGTACCCATGTGCAAATTAAGCTTAAAAGATGTACAAAGTTAAGCTCCAATAATTTTCTTCCACAAAATATACATCACCACAGACAATCAGAAATAATGAATAACGTGAAGAAATACTCAACTATTATAACTAGCGTAAAGCATTAAGATATTTCATAAGACTGCTAAAGGAATGGATATCAACATTATGAAAATGATAGTTTGTCAAATGTTCTGAACTCTGTACTAAAAAGAAAAGCTCACCTGTACCTCCAACAGCTTGTTCTCAATTTATCCATATTTATTGAAATTGATATAGTTCAGTTACTGATAAGACCTATCAGAAATAGCTTATATAATTTTGTTCTTTACTTTGAAATACCTATTTTATCCTGAGTGTGATCACTGCATTAGTTGTTTGATGTCAGCCAAAATGTGTAAGAGTTACTGCTTACAAAGCTTGCTTCCACAGGTTTTGAAAGGATGTTATTCTGATACACAATAGGAAAAACCTTCCATTAGATTGCTATGATTTGAAAGCTTTAGTTGGGAATGCAGTCCCAGAGATTAAACAGGTTTTTGCAAGCAAACAGCATATTGTGTGACAATCACCAGGCTATCTTTCACTCCATGATTAGCCTTTTTCAGAATCTTTCTCTACTTCACTGGCATGTTCTCCCTGTGCATCTGTACCCTCCCACTTTCTAGTTGATAGTAAATATTTAATTCTTTCTTTGAGTGTTTGAAATCAAATGAATTTGTTGACCTGTGGAAAATTTGTTTTCTTTTATTCGTTCAAAGAAAGTTCTGCCCACCAAAACACGATATATGTCAGAATCTTTCCATGCTTGGATTAGCTGGTAATTGATGAGAATCATTAATGTATGACTGAAGGATTCCAAGTGCCAACTCATGCTCTGCATGCTACTATAGTGTGAGATAACTCCATTGTCTACAATTGCACCAAACTGCTTGTACACTGTTTTAATTACTGGCAAAGGTTAGGCTCAGACAGGGCAGTAGATGTTCTGGTCTTTGTATCTGCGCCAGAACTTTATAAAAACATAATGTGAAGGCCAAGGACATTCTCTGCTTTGTAAGAACTGTTTGTTGATATGGTGCCAAAGCAAATGAGAATTTCAGTAGTGTTTCTTCAAGTATTATTATATATATATATATGTTAAATTATTCTGTTTATCATCACATTCCCAAGTCTCTTTAGTAAAGGCTCTTGATTACTTTATCAGATTAAGGTCCATATTTATGCATAATTTAAAAAAGTTATAAAGTTAGATGTGTGATCCCAGCAGGCAGCTGCATTAAATAAGATACAGAAACTAAAGTAAAAACCAAAAGTAGAAATTAAAGTGTTGTCACTTGATATTTCAGGTTTACTTCATGCTTGAATTGCCCACTGACAATGTGGAATTGTGATCCCTTCCTGCTGAAACATTGTGGTTGATTTTCCATGATCATTATGTTCTGGGGAAACAGAGCCGAAGCTCCCTGAATGACAAAAAAAGACTGAGATTAAACAATGAAAAAAAAATGTGCTTGTGATTAATTTTGGATAGGTCAGGAGTGGGATTAGGGTGCCACTACAATGAAGAACCAGGCTGAAAGTAGTAAGTCCAGGGGCAAAATGAAAAATCAAAGAAGAGATGCAAAGAAAGAATATGATCAAAGATCTGCAGTTCATATAAAGTGGAAACCCAAAGTATTCTATTGGCATATGAATAGGAAAAGGGTGATAGGGCCAATTAGGGGCCAAAAAAAGGGATTTAAGCATGGAGACAGGGAGCATAATTGACATGCTGAATTAATACTTTGTAGCTGTCTTTGCCAAAGAAGATGATGCTGCCCAAGATTGGGAATTGATTGGGAAGAGGTATTGGTTAGGTTGTCTATATATTTATTGATAAGATTCTAGGACCAGGTGAGATACACCGATGGGTACTGAGGGAATCTGAAAGTGGAAATTGCAGTGGTATAATTTTCCAATTTTCTTTCGAACTGGGAGTGGTATCAGAGTACTGATGAGTTGAAAATATTACAGATGGAATCTTATAGAGGCTGGAATGACATGGGCTTAGCACACAATTCTGTCACATCTCTTGCTAAAGTCCAGCGAGAGCTATTCTGATATCAATAACAGCTTGCTTTTAATTAAGTTACAGGTGTCAAGATGCAATTCTTACTAGGATGCTGTGAGTTGCCTCTTAAGAGGGGGTTTTGCTTGTTAGCAACATTATTAACTGCAAACTTCACCTCATTAATACACAGCTTTCTATTATACTGTCCATTGTGAGGAAACTAGATACTGAGAATTCTTGACATGGAAATCAGAGTGTGCATCTGGCAATGCCAGAACATCAGCTCACCATTGGCTGTGAAGAGCCTTCATGTTACGCACCACACAACAGCAGCTCAGGGCACAATCCATAAGCATTAGCTGTACCCCCACCCCTCCCAAATCCATGGACATTAGCATCTGATAATTGCTAACCCCTCAGGATCCTCATGGTACCTCTCCAATCCATTTGAAGACCTTTAGGAAGTAGTGATCTGCATTGCAGGACGCACCCTCACCTAGGACTGAAAGGGCATTTTGCAGGTAGAATGAGCACCCAGCTCAAGGATTGGGCCTGCATCTCAAAGTTGCTCACTTGGTCTCTAGCGCTCGCTCACTTAGCATCTAACAGCTTGCTCACAGCATCCTTCCTTGTCATGCCAATTAGCACAGTCATACAACCAGGCAGCTTGCCATGCTGGTCAGCAGCCTTCAGGGAAGGGGATAGACATCTTGTTGTATGACATTGTTTAATGTCAATCTCACATACACACCATGTACCGGCAGTTTACCTGGCTAAAAGACTGCATGTGCAGCAAGCAAGCAGCTATATCTCAATGCCTATGGGTATAGTCCTCACCAACGTCCATGGAGACACCTGTTAGCCAAAGGTCCCAGCACAGCATGTCAAAGGGAGCCTCCGATACCAGTCCAGGGAATAGGCCATAGTCAGGCATTTGGTCAGGGTCAAGGTGTCAATGTCTCTGTCCTCTGGGTCTGGGCACTAATTTTACCAATCAAATACATGATTGAAAATTATTGCAAAAAATGGATAAACTGCCAGTAAAATGTTAGGTTTAATGTTTTGAATATTGGAACAGGTGTCGTCCATTCAACTGCTTAAGGCTGTTCTGCAAGTCTATTAATATTCTGGTTGATTTTTATCTCCTCTCCATTTACCTATATCCTTTGCTCTATATCCCTCATGCTGTTATTTAACAAAACCAAATCAACTTTAATCTTGAAAATTTCAGCTGACCCAGTATTTAAATCCTTTTGCAGAAACGAGTTTGAGATTTCCACAATGCTTTGTTTGAATGTGTCCTCTAGATTTCACTCATTTACTTTTAAGGCTGTGCCCCTTTGCTCTGGATCCCCCTATCTGCGGAAAAGTCCTTTTCCATATTTATTACACAAGCCCCCTACTATGTTAAACATCTTGATTAAATTATCTTTAGCCTAAACACAAAGAAATGCAAACCATGTTTATGAAATTTATCCTCACAATTCAACCCTATAAACTGATTTAATATTTATCAACTGCATAATGATCCTTTTGATTTCTTTTTAGAAAATTACCAACAAATTTGAAACATTATGCATTGCCTTTAATCCAATTGTGGTACATTCTCAGCAGATGACTAGAAACAGAGTGTGTTCAAATCCTTGCTTCTAAGTACTTATACAGTTTATACAATCCTTTCATCCAATGCAACATTAAATTTGTAAGCTAAGATGCTATTAATCCCGTTTATTATAATGGAAAACATTCTTTTCTTTGAATAAATGAAATGTGAGATCTTAAGAGATGCAAAAAAAGTTGAAAATTTCTTCTTAGCAGCTAACCCTAAGCTACCACTTTGTTCAACAGTAACAATGAATTATTGTGTCAGGAAGATATTGGTTAGTTAACTTTAGTGAAAACATTTTCAGTGTCCAACATTATTGCAGCTATTAAGTGAATTATCTTAGAATCCCAACGGTGTGGAAGCGGGCCATTTGGCCCATTGAGTCCACAACAACCCTCCAAAGAGAATCCCACTCAGATCCATCACCTTACCCTTTCCTCTAGTAACCCTGCATTTCCCATGGTTAATCCACCTAGACTGCACATAGTGGGCAACTTAGCATGGCCAATCCACCTAACCTGCACATCTTTGGACCGTGGAAGGAAACCAGAGCACCCAGACGAAGCCCACGCAGAAACAGGGAGACTGTGCAAACTCCACACAGTGTGGAATCAAACCCAAGTCCCTGGCAATGTGAGTCAGCAGTGCTAACCACTGAGCCACCATGTCGCCCTTTTCTGTCATAACACAGCTAAAAACAAACTGTGGTAGTGGTAGTGATAATGTCACTGGATTAGCAATTCCAGAACCCCAAGCTGTTTCTCTGAGGACATGGATTTGAATCCTACTGTGGCAGAGGGTGAAGTTTCAATTCAGTAAAATGTTGAATGGTAATCATGTAACCACTGTTGATTGTTGTAAAAACCCATCTGGTTCACTAATATGCCATAGGGAAAGAAATCTGTTAGTCAGGCTTACAAGTGATTTCAGACCAAGAGCAATGTGATTGACTCTTACCTGCCCTCTGGGTTATTAGGGATGGGTAATAAATTGGCCTAGCTAGCAATGCTCAAATCCCATGAATGAATAATAAAAAAATTGCATAGAAGCTTTTATTTAACAATGCTTTTGTTTTCAGTAACAGATGGTTTGGTTGGGTTATTGAGTTCAGATATCATTTAAGTACTTGGATTAAACCCAGCCTAGGCTAACTGGATGAAAATCCCTTTGTGGGCAGCTGTAAGAAGACTAAGTAAAAGGATCTTTTCTGATGGATAAAACTCCGTGTATAAGAATGCCTGCATATACTTTGCTCCAAATTATCACAACTCTGGCTG